TGACGGGTTTGACAAATTAAAACCCTTTGGATTGTCAGTACATGCTGCAATAGATGGATTCTCTATAAGAGTTTTGTGGATAAAGGTGGGCCCTAGTAATAAAAATCCGAGATATATCGCGCAGTTCTTTTTGGACTATGTACAGAAAATACATGGAGTACCGAGAGTTGTCCGTGCGGATAGAGGAACGGAGAACTCCTTGGTTAGAATAATTCAAGTAGCGTTAAGATCGAATGATCACGATTCAATGAGTGGCCTAAGAAGTTTTTTGTATGGCAGATCCGTTGCAAATCAACGTATCGAAGCCTTTTGGTCATACTTACAACGACTTTGTTCTCGCTTTTGGATTAATCACCTAAAAGACCTTCAGGACAGAGGACTAGTAGACACATCTAATGATGTTCATGTTGAATGTAGATTCTGTTTAACCGACATAATTCAAAGAGATTTTTCGCGTATGGCCAGAATGTGGAATCAACATAGAATTCGCAGTCAAACAAATTTGGAGATCCCATGTGGAAAACCCGATATACTATATTTCTTACCAGAAATATACGGATCAAGAAATTATAAATTTCCATTGCAATTTTCTGATGATGATATTGAAGAGGTAAAACGTGACTACTGCGATGTACTTCCCGAGTACGGATGCTCTCCAGTCTTTGCTGGTGGAATTTCTGAAATTATTGGAAACAATTTAGATAATTATACGATGCCAAATACTTTTGAGGAAAGTACACAACTGTTACTTTATCTTATTGACATTTTTGATGAAAATTTTGTTGCTTTATAATAATACGAAATGTTCCCAAACTTATAAATTTGCCAGAGTGGAGATAAACTGAATCCTGATTATGAGAACGCTAATTTTTTTTTAAGACTTTACATGTTTCACATGTAGGCCTACTGACTTTCCTCCTTAGAAATGGTAAAAAGTGCAGCACTATACTGACTAATAGATATACTTTAATACAATAATAACATAACAAACAGTAACAGTAATACTATGTTGAAATACAAATAATAATATACAAAGGTTGGTCGAAATTCTAACTGTGTACATACGATGCTTCAAATATTTATTTCAATGTTAAATTTCTTTTTCTGACATTTAATCAGTCATGTAGACTTGCCTGAAGAAGAAACATCAGCAGCTAATAACTTGATAACTGTTTTAATGAAACAGATCTATATGCTTTTTGAACTCCATTAAACGGACACGGATGAACGATGTATCATTGACCTGTATAAACTTTTCTTATATCTAATGTCTATTCTTAAGTTTAAATAAAGTAAAACGATGTACAGTAGTCATAGGTTGTTTTACAGAAAAAGAATAAGCCATCGTTACTCCGAGTAGTGTGATTATGGAATTCTTAGTTAATGTGTATATAATGTAATTATAATTATTTATAACTTAATTAGTTAACCAATATTTACTTTTTCAGATACAAATAAACATTGTTATTATTAAACATATTTGTATAAATATGTTTTTTCTATAAATTCAGCTTCACTTAACTGAGCAGGCCTACACTATTTCTCATCAACTTAATTGTACATAGAATAGTATAGCGATATATAATCACAAATTTTGTTCTTGGAAGTTTTGTTTCTGTTTTAGTTACAAAAAAAAAAGGATTAATGAATTCACTTATATTACTAAATAAATAACTTACATTTAGTAATTTCAAG